CAGAGGGGGTGTAGTGCAGAATGACTCTATAGCTAAGTACACATCAGTGGATGAAACGATTCTGGTCAACTTTCCAAGGGATGTGTAAGTTTCTTCAGCTTTTTCGAGAATATTCATGAAGTGCACAGTCTTACCAAGATCAGACGCTTGAGTTCAAACGATCCACCATAGCCATACTGTATTCAACCTGGTCAAGTTATCACAATCAGTAAGCATCCAGTGTATCGATTTGATATCTCTCGATTATCACATCTGGGCCATACCATATGAGCACAACATCCAATTAAAATCGGACTGGAAAGTCAGTGGAATGGTACGGTGCTCATGTTGTCCCGCCTCATAATGATCGATACAGACCTTGACGAAAGAAGTCACATAAATCTCTGTCCACACTCACCTCAGGCCCGTAAGATTAGGTCATAACATTGTCCTTCGATAATCAAAGTACAGAATATGAAGGGGGGAAATAAGGTCAAAAGTTACAATAGCTCGGCTGTAACACCATTTTGATATGTAGCCTCTATGCCAACCGAAGGAAGAGGCTGAGCTGAGATACTGCCTGGTTCTCTAGTTTAGACAGGAGCAATCAAGATACAAAAAATTAGGTCCAAATGACAGACCTTCCGTAATCCCGCCCCCGAAGGAAGCTCGAAGGCTGAGATACTGCCTGGTTCTCTAGTTTAGACAGGAGCAATCAAGATACAAAAAATTAGGTCCAAATGACAGACCTTCCGTTCCGTAATCCCGCCCCCATCACTGAGGTATCTCGAGCTCTAAAAGTTCCAGAGGATACGTGGGGCTATTTTTAAGGATGAATGACTCAGATTTCCCGAGGAGTCCGAGAAGACTTTTTATCCTAAAAACACTTCTATTTGAAAAGAGTTTGCACAGCACCGCGAAGGTCAAACGAGACGTACCTGGGGAAGATATAAGCCACTCACGACGGAAAGCTGAAAATATGCTTTGCATTCTTCAAAATCCACATTAACCAGCGCCCATTGGGTGTCCCTTGGTTATATTAATAGGCCAATGAAGATTACCGAGCCCTCCGATTGAAGCACAAACACTAGTCTAAACCCAGTGTTCCACGGTACGCATAACAATACATAATTAGTTTGGAAACAACAAATCAATTTTAGGGAGAAGCTTTCGCCTATTTATTATCGATTTTTAGTGTAATAGCTGTCTGTAATATCGGGAAAACAGTCTGTCAAGCTGAAAGCGATTTGGAAAACAATGTGTGTCGCGGGCGTTATTAGTCTTCTCCCATACAAAGTACCTGCGGCTAATTTGGAAAGCCAAACTATTGCATGATGGCTCTCCGTTTGTTCCCAATGGCCTGTGAAATTCCTGGATCGTGACTGTGGATTTTTTGCTCGGAAAATAGAGCAGTCGTGACGTTTTGTGCCGGAGCGTTTAAATAGTCTATGCATAGCACAATGCATTAGGAAAACTGTTTTTGTCTCTTTGTCCATTCATTGTGTCTGACGTCCTGATATCTTCCTGAGACATATGATTGTTTGGGTTTCTTATCCTACACACAATTTATCGTACGCCTACTCATAAACAGAAATGTTTTTCGTCCAATTCATTGCATCAGCCAGGTGAAAGATTCGGTTGGATAACCAACACAATACTCACTCTGGGAGGACGTATCCCCAAAACAAACCGAAAGCCTTAAAGTGTGGGGTATGCTCTCTTGGATTGGTTAACTAGTGTGAACAGTGCCTCATAAGGTCTGCACTTGACCGAGAACAACTAAGTTGTCTCCGGCTGTTTTTGATAACTCTTGTAGTGCGCAGGAATTCTTCATTTCAAACGAGGCAAAAAGGCAGTGGAAACCCCCAGCTGAGTAACTCAGGGAGGAGCCATACCTTGCACAAACGGATGCTTTAAGTTCCATCTGGACTTACAACTGAAACAACCCTGTTCAACAACTGGCATTGTATGCAGCCCCGCGAGAGTGAAGACCCAGCCTCGGAGGGTCTCATCGCTACCGCGTGAACTTGCAGAGGATTATTTCAGATTGCTAAGTAGCTGGGAAAAGATGACAGTTTGATGGAAGAGTATGAGGATGAATCACCGTGAGAAACTGAATCGCTCCTCAAACCAATGCATTTAGTCTCATAACGCCAGTGTCGAGTAAACATACCGGAATTTATCAGACTCGCCAACCAGCACCGAATGAAGTGAAACATACTTCAATCAATTGGAACATGTTTGGGACCGATTGGGAAGTCATTGTTTCAGAGGAGTTTGGTAAACAACCGGTGGATTTATTGCTGGGCAACGTCCTAGCACCCTTGAACGAAATCTGTGAACGGCCTCAAGAGGAATTTTTCATTAAGGTGTCCTAGACTGAAAAAGCGAGGACGAAAAATCCGGGTTCATCATAAAGACGAATCCCCCCTAACCAATCTATCGTAAATCTTAGTCATCCCCACTAATCAACAAACAGGGACATCAGACTGAACACCCAGTACTGATCAAGTCACTAGTCATCAGGAATCTCACGGATTGGTTCCCTGACGGCCCTCAACCCAATCAACCTACCTACCTACTCACTTGGCCTGACGAAGCTTTTGTGTCAAAAGCGAAACGTTGCCCAGCAATAAATCCACTGATTGTTTACCAAACCATGAAACCTACTTCATTCTTGCGGTGTTTATTACGGTACGTTTTACTTGAGTTTTGTTTAACATAAAAAATAAAGCCAAATGAAGAAAACGTCTACAGACTAGAGAGTTAACCCCCAAATTTTGCGTGCCTTAGATAGACCCTAAGGCAAGAAATACCCAGTCCAATCAAGTACGAGCATTTGATAGACTTCTGCGGAATTCGGCAAGTGCACATGGTTAGCGCACCAAGTGTGTCCATCACGTGAATTTAAATGGAACGAGTGGCAGTGACACTTGGTTTGTGAAGGAAAGTATGGAAGTGCACATGGATTACCTACCTTCATCAAGATCTCCACGTGCAGCGGCTTCCAGAAATATGAGACTGGGAGGAAATTTGACTGAATGCCCTGCACGATGAAATCCCCGTTCAGACGGTGGACTTAATCCCTTGCGTTGTAATTTCTCGGCCTCTCGCATCATTTTTCGGTCATATTGGTGCCAATCTTTGAGTTGCAATTTTCGCTTGTTTCGGGCGTTTCGAATACGTTCCAAATCGGGTACACGGGTCTGAGGAGCCTCCATAGCGATGGACCCATTCATTTCAAACGAACTAGATCCGTCCATCACAAGTGGTTACCTCAAAATGATAAAGCCCTGTGGAGGCGTTTCACAACTATCGAACTCCAAGCAAAACTATAACGGCCGGATAAGTCATCGGGATCTGAGCAGAGATCGGGGCTGAAATGACGAAAAAGTTTCCGGTAAATTTCGGAAGAGTATGAGACATATAGGATACTAGTGGTTCGGTGATATGCCGTTTCTCGTGTGACAGATTATAGTTTTGAAGTTTTTGAAGTTTGCCGATGCTCCACACGTTCCAAAGTGATGTCTCTGGGTGTAGGTGACTTCGAGCGACCGGGGACAAGTAAAATTAGCTCAAACAGTCGATGCAAATCGTCGGGTGAGTATGACATTACTGTTCAAGTCAGTGAGTTACCATGGGAGTTCTGACCAATGCTTTCATCAGGCGACCTCGTAGATCTAGAGCAAAGAGCTGGTCATTACTTAGACAGTGAGGACCAAAAGTAGTGAAAAGTTCCAACACAGCAAACTTTTCAACGATGAGGAAGGACCATATAAAACCAAAGACGAAACAGGTGCCACGTCTTGATAAGAATATTACTTAAAGGACAGGTTGAAAACAGATAGGTTTTCACAGTATAGGAACATCTCATAGCACCTCTTTTGAGTCAGCTGTCCGTGGTAGGTACCGGTCATTACGCCTGAAAAAAAAACAACCGCGAAACGGTTACAACACCTCCTAGAGGTCACTAACTCAGCTTTGGGGTCACAGAAAACTTCATTACTGTACGTCCGTACATCCTGTGAGTTCTTAGTCGAACTGAAATCGCTACTGCACGTTGATCAGTCAAGCATCTTAACAGCGGATGGTGTCGTGCGCTATGAGCTGCGGAGTTTTCTCTACAGACATCCTAATTCCCTATCTGTTTATGGTCACAGTTGTCAGTACCACGGGTTCCAGTGTATGAACCAGTTTCGCTACATTTCACTATTGCTTACCTGCTCTCCTCGTTGATTGAGAACGGTTCAAATTGAGTTCTAAAGCGAATAAGACAGTGCTTATAGTATACTATTCACAAGGTTGTTGAAAACTCTTCGACAGCCCACGACCGGTTTCGCCCTTCTTGGGGCTAATCAGGTAGCCGCAGCCCCCGAGTTTTTGTCAACCTTATGATCTACTTGAGCCCAGTGCTTATTTGCTGCGAGCCATCAGACATGTTCAGAATACATGCAGGGCAGTAGCACTTTGCATTTGACACCGCCAAACTGGACGAAACTAGCTGTCATCTGAAGTCTGCTGCCTAGGTACTTGAGAATCCCTGTTCAAAACCTATCGATTAGCGACAGATCTGACAAGTGGACTGTACAGAGTCAGTCGAGAAGTGTATCACTGGAATGCTTTTGTATTCAATCAGAAATGAATGAAGGTGTTAGTACGAATCTGGAAGATCCAGTGCTGGTGTCCATAACCGTCAGTGAACAGGCTTGTTTGATACCTGAGCAAGAAAAAGCACCGGCCGATACTCCTCACATCGTTTAGATCTTGGCATAGATAAACGCTGACCAAACTGAAATACTGATTTCAGCCCAACTGAGAGCCCGTAGGATGCATAAACGAAATGATCATATGGAGGCGTACATCTAGACCTAGGTGATGGAGGAAAATTGCAAAATATTAAGCACGTCCAGTAGAACATAAGGTTGACGGAAACTCGGGGACTGAGCCTACCTGATGAGCCCCAAGAAGGGCGAAACCGGTCGTGGGCTGTCCAAGAGTTTTCAGCAACCTTGTGAGTACTATTTTTACGAAACTATACTGCGATATCTCGAACCTCATGCCAACTGAAACATGAGGCGGCCTGTGTGCAGCACATTCAGTTGTAGAATATCATAAACGAGAGATTCAGTTGAGTCTCTCGTGAAAACCAAATTGATTTGCAAATGAGCGTATTTCTCGAAAATTGCAACATATTAAGTAGGTCTGAGCTGAGTGGAAGCGACCGAAAGGTGGACAGTGTATGACCTGGCAACGAAGTACGAAAACACTAGCGAGTAAACTTAGTCACCTCTCTGGATGGGGACCCCGGGAACTCAAATCACCGGTGGTCAACGGCATTGGCATAAATGGCCCATCGCGCAGTCAGCGGCGCTCGTACATCAAACTGAACAAGCCTTCGCCTCCAAGACTTGGTTGTATGTCCCACCTTCCCGTTTCCCGGTGATCGAAACTGTAGCAGCTGGGACCGGTATGCCTATGGCACACACTTGATACCTGATAAACTGAATTTATTGAATTGAAATACGTCTGAATGACCCACGTAGTCCCCCCTCCCGGAGACATGAGTGAGATCAACCACCAGGATTGTGCTCGATGGAGCCGTTCCATAAGGTGGTCCGATAATTGCGTTCACCTCATTATCCACTTTTTTTCGGTTCCATTCCCGTTTCAAGCACTCCTGTAAATATATGTGCTGTTTTTCCGATAAGGCGTGATAGTCGATTTGCAAAAACAATGCGGGCCTGTGATTCTGTCGCACAGGGTTTTTTTCACAACACACAAAACGCTCCAATTTCAAGCATGTGACCTGTTCATTACCAAGTTCAGTGCGCGAATCGATAACTGGTCAAGACCGAAAGAAACAACTGTTGTTTTTTTTCTTACTACGGCTGGCTGGTTGGCTAGGATCATAATCACCAATCTCATTAACCTGATCGCGTTCATGAAAAGAGGGTACCAAGACGGACAGGGTGACTGAATGATCAGCAATCTGACCAACTGTCGATAAGTGGTCTAAAATGAAAAGTCCATAACTTCATTTGTTTAAATCAAAACCTGAAGGTTAATTAGCTTCCACTTCGTGGAATATATGCAGCCAATTTGCATTTCGAGGAATGCAGCTCTTGACCTGAGCTTCAAACCTGATTTCCAACTCAGATTGTTTTACTTTCATCATTCATTCTACGCCACGTGAAGTAGTAAGTCAGTCAGACCACGAGCGATACGCTAGTCTAACCAGGTAAGGTTAGCATATACCGGTTCCGATCGATTTGCTCTCAGCTAGTGCATTATTTGTTCTGTTCACCTAACCCAACCGGTTTTTGCTGACGTCAACCGAACGACATACGAGCTTGTTTGTTTGTTTGTTTGGAAAAAAGCACACGGCTACTACATTAGCGTTTAGAAACATTAGCACTCCTCCGAAAAGTATACCTTTGAAAAGAGGAGTACGGGCATTAGCTGGAATTAGCCAGCAGGCGATTTACAAATAAAGCGGACTGCTCTAAGTAATTTGGTCCCCATCGTGCGTATATGGGTTCCAAACAAAACAACTGAAGTCTTCGCAACGTACTACTCATAAGGTTGCTGAATAGACTTCGACAGCCCACGACCGGTTTCGTCCTTCTTGGGGCTCATCAGGTAGGCGCAGTCCCCGGGCTTTCTTCAACCTTATGTTCTACTTGAAACCGAATTGCACGAAATTAGCTAATATATACTCATTTGCAAACTAATTTGGTTTTTCGAGAGACTCACTTGAAACCCAGCTGAGTGTATATTCGCTAATTTGGTGCAATTTGGTTCCAAGTCGGACATAAGGTTGGCGGAAACTCGGGGACTGTGCCTACCTGATGAGCCCCAAGAAGGGCGAAACCGGTCGTGGGTTGTCGACGGATTTTCAGCAACCTTATGAGTAGTACATTACAAAGATATATATGTATCGCGATATTTTAAATATTGTAGCGACTGAAACATGGGGCGACCTGGTGCAGCACATTCAGTTGCCTGAGAACAGCAAAAACGAGACATTCAGCTGAGTTCCAGATGAGTCTTTCGGAAAACCAAATTAGCTTGCAAATAAGTGTATATTCGCTAACAACTGAAGTCTGTTCGCTGAGCTGGGCAATTTGATTGCAAAAGTTTCATTACCAATGGAGGTGACATCATCAGTGCCTTATTGGGGAGCGTTGGGTTGATGGGTTGTGCCGGGCGAGATTTCATATATCGAACAAATTATTCGTTCTCTCGTTAGAATATTATACCTCGCAGTCGGTGGGTAACAAATAGAAGTTGGCGGAAGAAGCTGATGGCCGAGGCGGTCGAAATCGCCAAGCACCCCGGTGTTAATAGACCAGAAGGCGTGGAACTGGCAAGCGTGTGGAGAACGGTTTTGGATCAGTCGAGTTGACGTGTGTTGGTGTGCGGTCATCAGAAGGAGCAGTAGTCATCATCTGAATTCTACTTGACCTCACCTCCCCCTAACTAAATTGCGCAGCACTCACAACTGAATGAGAATCCGGGCACCAGTTACTTTCTACTGCAACTTGTTGCCCACCAACTGTGAGGTCTCACATTATAAAGAGTGAATGAATAATTTGTTCGACATATTAAATCTTCTCATCCACGATCCGGATGCCTTTTCTTCTACAGGTAAACCACAGGCATGCAGTGGAGGGAAACAAATTCGGGTTTGAAATTACCACAAGTGTGAACAAGTCACACCTGTTAGTTCACCAGGCAACGGACGCGTTTTGCCGGATATCAAACTTCATGTCAATCGAGATGACACGGTTATCTCAGACTCAACAACGTGTGAATTAAGCAAGCAATAGCTTTCACAAAATCGATAATGCACGCACATCACCACCACAAATTATCATTAGTAGTAAAACACTAGAGACCCTGGTGATTAGCCACATAGAAAGAACACGCGGAAATGATGAGTTAGAGAAGGATGAGGGAAAGACTGAGGTGGAATACAGGAAAGGCGAACAGCCATGAAACGAACGCATCTGAGTGTGATATCCGGGTCACACACCATCACAGATATCGAATCAGGACATTTTACGAAACGTATTCAACACAAGGTGAGTACAAAGTGACGGTTATTCGTTTAGATTACGAAGTGGATCAACTACTCGCCACGTCTTATAGAGGTTGCGGCAACGACATGGACTCTAAGAACAGGAAGGCCTCACACTACAAATTTTATGGCCTGTCCTCTGAGTCAAAACAGAATAGATATCCATTGTGTAAACTATAAACTATGGTTCGAATGTACGAAGGTTTGAGCTCCAGTCTCTGAGGGTAAAAAGAAAGGATGAGGACTGGAGACTACGACAGTTGGGTTCTATATGCATGTGAATATATCCTGACAATGATGCACGCCAAACCGCCATCTTCCTTCGATGTAGTGTAGCAAAAAACTTCATTTGAAAGAAAAAAATTTTCACATCAATTTGAGATGGACGCAAACAAACTCCCAGTTACAAAGTTACATCCGAGAAAAATTACCATGTGGTTGAGCACAAGCAAAACGTTAGTTGGTCTAGCATTGAGTGTATAACAAACCAGACATCGTAGAAAGAGCACGCGACGAGTAGCCTGACAATCAAACTGGGGACGAAAAAAATCTAGCATTGACGGAAGTAACTGATGAGGAACACCCGTTGTGTTTTCTCCGGAAAAATCAAGCCACTGTACGAGCGATAGAAAATTCTATTAGGATTCTGTGTATTCAATCAAAAGTGATTCTCCAAAATCAGTATTATTGAATGAAAACCCCTAAGTGGAGGCAGAAAATCCGGGAGAAAAATGTTGTAGTTAGAATCATGTGGCATTTTTTCGACCCCGAGTTTTTCTGACTTTATAACAAATCATTTCAATTGGTTGTAGTTTTGTCGTATAATGTGTAGGTACCAAATGGATTCTGGTGTCAAGAAAGGGTAGCCATCAGAAGGTAAGGTGAGAGAGAAACACTAAGTGAAATGTTGACGTGTTTTTCTGTCTGAGTGTTTAATCCCGTCGATGACCACAGCTCAGTTGTCTACAAGCCAAACCATACATGGCCTACCTCCCGACACGTTCACCCAATGGTTTTCGGCCAGAGATTAGAAACTGACTGAAGGCTTCAGGTTTTAAGACACAACGACTAAGTCACTTGATATGTGTCTTCGCCAAATTTACCCCCATTGTCTGGGGTAACCATCGAGCCTACCTCCCGACACGTTCACCCAATGGTTTTCGACCAGGGATTAGAGAGGAACTGAAGGCTTCAGGTTTTAAGACACAACGACTAAGTCACTTGATATGTGTCTTCGCCAAATTTACCCCCATTGTCTGGGTTCAGTAACCATCGAGGTGGCAGATTTGCTGGAGAGACATGTGTTGAAAATGCACTGTACCAACCGGTGCCGAAGTACCCATGGTAAGGGTCAAGTGAACTGTAGCAAACTATCAAAAACTCTGTGAATGAAGTTCTTCGCATGACACTGCGATTCTTGTAGGTTCCTTCGATCTTTCTCTAGAAGGGAATCACTTTACATAGGGTGAGCCGACTACGAACAGGCTGTTTTGCTTGGATGGCTTAACAAAACCACACACAATCAGTTTGGGCTCGAAATATTTGCTCATACTCCATGTAAACTGATCCGGTAGCTTGCTACACAAAGTCACAAACAGTTCGGAATATGTGCGGCTTTGGTCACTCAATCTGACAATCAGAATGGATGGAGACAGTGAGAATCTTGCGGAGTCTCTTCAACCACCACTAGGAGGAACTGCATTGGAAGGTATGTTGGAAGGTATGTTGGAAGGTATAACTAGGAGGAACTGCATTGGAAGGTATGTCGCAGTTTTATTCATCAATAATACCAATGGCTTTGCCTATAGCATGGAATAACTGGCCCCGTGTTGTGATTTCCTTGTGCTAAATTGCATTCCGGAGGTCAGTGCAGTTCCCTTGGAACACAAATTTTCAAGTTTTACTCGAAATGGAAATATATTCAGCAAATACGAATCTCAAAACGGTACGCCGGAACGACTAGTTATCGCGCGCAGTCACACTGTCGTGACTAACCGAAAATTGCCTTTTGTCTTGCCTTTTGTCCTCTAACGAACATCAAAATTACTTTGAAAACTGAGGAAATAAAACAAGCCAGTTGACAAAGCTAGAAATGTACGACGCAGTTTTGTGAGAATGCATCGTGTGGATCTTGTTAATCTTAATTTCGGAGAACATTAAGAGTTTTTTCTTCTCAGAAGGATGGCGTTTTGTTTACAACAAACACGGATGTCAAAAGGCGACGGTTGATGATTGAAGTAACGCATTCCCTTGAGATTAGCGTTTTTATTTTGCGTAAGAAGGGAAACGGAAGGAAATTCGACCTTCCAAACACAGTGTTTGTATGCAAAGCCTTCCTAGCAGATAAGCACATTTATAATTAAATTGCTAGTTTGAGTGGCTATGTGGCAAAAATTTCTCGTCCAAAACTTGGCCAAACATGGTCAGTGGTAAGTGAGAACGGAGATGTGAAACGCAGGTTTCTTTCAGACCCAAGAGGAGCAACGAATCCAAGATAAATTTTTCTACTACTGTGGAAAGAAAAACGATGAGGTGTCTAACCTGAGATAGAAAGGGGAACTGCACCAACAAGTGATCATACCACAACACGTTAAGTTGTATTCAATGCCAGATAGGCATGGGGTGATAGGCAGAGCTGGTCCGAAGGAGGGTGTATCCAGAAAGCCAAGGCACTAGACAAACGCATTCGCGGCATCATACGGAGTCCTCCCAATGGCATCAGTGGAAACAATGCTTTGACCGATAGATATTCTGGGACAGTCAACCACCCAAACCGCTGAGCAAACGGACGAGTAAACGTCTATATCCGAATGATCAATTGAACCACTCACACCATACGGTAACATAGGACCAGAGACGGAATTTTGCTAAGTATTTACGCAACAGTGTGCCAACAAATCACGAGAGAAAAGTACCCAAACGACCAGGCAGAAGATGAAGTGAAATTAGAAGGAAACGGGGACACAGATCCCTGAACTTCCGTATAAACCACCTTGAGGGTTACACGTAGACTGGATCAATAAAGACATGGCAGGTTCGGTAAACTTATGGAATTATAAAGCAAAGGCTAATGAGTTATGGGTTCCCCAAGTAACTTACAGGTTACAAATACATACAGAATAAAGGAAAGGTGGGGCTCGCCCTAACTACGAGGGAACCAGCTATGCATTGACCTATGTAAAAAGCCAAAACGTCATAACTTCTCCAAGGACGTACCTTCGAACAATGGGGGTGCCATAATGAAAGTGTTAAGGAGAAGTAAAGCTCCCCTCCAGATGATAATGAACAGGCGTTTCTCAATGGTCCCGTCTCTTTAGCTGTTCTCCCATGAGGTAGAACAGTACGGTCAGAACGGTGAGTAGAACATAAGGGAAAAAATAACGGTACTCTTAAGGGTTATTTACTGAACCGCGCAATTCTGCGTTAAGTAAGCGTTTCATTCTAAAAAGAAGCTCCACTTTGCAATCAAAGTGATAACACACGAGAAAAACACAACTCAATGTTGGGTTCACTAAAACGGACATAGCTCGTTTGAGAAAAAAGTGGAAACATACAGTAAAATCTCACTGTCCCCTTCGATACTGAATCAATAAACCGGACAAGATGTGAAAAGGTTCAACAAAGTAACATTCGAAGAGATTTTCGCTATTCATGAACATGTTGATAGCTCAGGCTGCTTAGTTGGTCGTTGGTTGTTTGCTGACCTGAGAAATTGGGTTGCAACTGAGAGTGATGTTGACGACTAGTTAGTACCGATGTGGAATGCAGGTTGATTAGCAATGCACTCTGAATGTCTCCTCGGTTGACGAAAAAGGGCGTCTTTGATGGCTGTCATCCCCAGTAAGTGAACTAACAATCAGGTTTGTCCCCACCAACTAAGCCCAATCCATTCAAACAAGTAAATGATCAACATCTGAATCAAACAATCTACCACGGATTCGCATGAGACACAAGGACAGAGAACTAAAATAGGATAACAAGCGAACCATAGCTTGCCGACAAAAGTGCTCATTCGCTTGCAGCTGAGGATAAAGGACGGTGAGATATGCATTAACTCAGGTGCCATATAATAAAGTCAACAGACTTTCCCCAGCCTACTTTCACTTCATAATGTACGAAACCATTGAGAAGCTAGTAAATCAGTTTGCTTACCAGTTCTGTGGTGCCGGCAAGCAAGAATGCATTTAGAACTGCACTAGCACAACCGAACATCAACAGACAGAGGTGAATCAAATGTTACTTCCATAGTAACGGATGGGAGTGCGGCCAGGAAGGTCATTTCAGTCAGTGATCGCGCAGACCAATGGCACGAATATAGGAAGGTA